AAAACGATGGCGTAACATTGTGTTAATAATAACACAAAGTGGTGGTGTGAAAAAGTAAGATTTTATTTCAGTAGAATAGTGTCATTTAAAACTTTAATTTTCGACTAACACAAAAAAAACAAACGTTTAAATTTTAAAGAACATCAAAAACATGGCATTAGACCTGCACTTATACGCTGCGGTTCATTTTATTGCACTAATCATCAACAAAATCGTGATATACCCGACAGATCATTTAATTATAAATGTAAAGGATAATAGTCACTCGAAACAGTCTGTAAATACCGTGTACGGAAACTTTCATAATTAGATGCATATGTTTCGAACTGAAATGAATAGATGAAAGACACTGGCAGTAGAAACTAACATTTCCCAAACTGTTTTATTGTATCAAACTATATCAACTTTGAGTACCAAGAAAATATTGAGGCCATTATTGCAATTATCTACAGAATGATAACATCTGCAATGGAAGAAGCACATATTATATGAGTTGCTCTTTGCAAAGAACTTAAATCTTAGTACTCGTTATCATAATTGAGCACACCAACATGAAAAATATCATTATGAGAAAAGGATAGATTCATGGAAAAAAATGATTAAAAAAGTGTATATTCAGTTGATTGATTTCATGAGAGAAACTGTTATTATAATAGTATTGTAATAGTAGAATTTATTTTATGTCTAAGCTGTATGTTTTGGAATCAATGAACCTTAAAGACCAGCAATATATAACAACTGTTCTCTAATGAAGTGATTAATCCCAATTCCAATTTTAAGGCTTCTTTAGTTGTTGTCCAGTCACAGACATACAGACACATTTAAACAGATTTCATCTATTCTGTAAGGCTATTTAAATAAAACATATTAGAATAAAGAACCTATTGCGTCAGGTATGTTCGCACATCCACGTTATATTCATGGTATGAACTTATTCGAACAGATGATCATTTGAGCAGACATTATTGTTTACTATTATCATTAAGATATACAAAAATTTATATATAAAGATGCTATCGGGAGATATTAATCATCTTTCGTATCTAATTAATTTAACATGCATACCAAGTTTGCATTTTTGAAGAAATTAGAAAAACGATATGTTTGTAATTTGTACTACAGAGGACTATTATTTGTTTTAACAAATGTAAAACAGTTATAATATGATGTCATATCAAATGAAAAAGAAATAATCATAAACAATTCACTCACAAATGTACTTTATGTTTCACATTTACCTAAACATTTTACTGTTTTAAACATATTTTCTCTGATAAGTTATAACTTTTTTGGTGTTATTGAAGTTTGTTGCGGGCTGCGTTCATAAAATGCCGCCGTACCTTTTGATTTCGTTCTCATATTGTATTCGTATTAGCTACTTTCCTACCACTGCAGAACTGTTAAAGAATGTTACCTCATTATCACTTGCCCCTCATCAAGGATGTTGTTCAAAACACGCCGGGGACACTGGATTCTTAATGTAGTAAAGTTATCCAGTTATCAACGGAATGGCGTTGGTCCTACTTGTGGTGCAAGATCGTGCCCAAAATTATGCATATATGAGAAGCTTTTTCCCACCATCTCAACTGGAAAATATATGCACTGATGTGTAAAATGTTTAGTTTACCTTTGCGATATATATTATATATTTTGTAAAATAATATAAACTTACACATGTACTTTGGCGCGCTTAGTATATTCTTACATTATAACGTAATATATGCCACGTGCTTATAGTTTGGTTAATTTAAGGATATCATATGTGTGATTCGTGTTCATTTTCCAGTCAAGTTAATTCATTTGAACAAATAACACGGCCATAAAATATTTCGTTCACACACAGTTAATCAGAAATTTAACCACCACCGTAAATAATCAGCAATATTACATAAAATATTTGCATTGATGCCCTGCATAAATGAATATTCATGTTTCTATCGAGATATGCCAAAGCAAACATTGTTGGCAACTTGTACAATAATGTCAGATGCGTTTGTGCACATTTTCAAACTGTGACAGGAATGACATATGTGTTTTATAGAAAAAACTTTCAGAGCACATTTACCACCCTTATCTTGTTTATCACTTAATATGTTTCTGTTTCAGAAGACGATTTACGATGAAGAGATATAATCATGAAACTCTAAACCTGTTTCATTGCGACAAAGCGAAATGTACTGTATTTTTTCTATGTTAATAAATGTATGACGTTCATGTTCTATTACAATTTTTGAAAGGGTAATACGACAGATAAAGGTTATCAATACTGGAAAAGCAGTTTTAAAAAAATAATCGAAATCACTTCTATACATGTTTTTTTCTCTGAATGATATTAAAATACAGCGAATAGCAAATTCAAATGTATAAGTTTTGACATAAAACATTTATCTAGATAATCAGCCGGTCCTGCATTGTCATGGGTATTACAGGAAATATCAATGTTATATTTCCTGAAATTGACTGATAGTGAAGGAAATTGATAAAATTATTCCCACATGCAATATCTTGTCTCAATCTCCATTTAATGCATTGGTTTAAAATATTTTGATCTTTCCGATGTACTTCAAAACCACTTGTTTTGCCTTGCATACAATATTGCACAAATCGCGAAAAAATGGAAAATCGCGGCTTAGATTCGCGTATTTTGAATTTCACTTGTTTTAAATCCTCAATGAAAACGGATGCAAATTACTGTACAGCATATTGTTACCTGCCAGGGGTATATATGTGTTTATCAGCAATATTCGCTTGTAATAAACGAATTGATATGTAGAACTGTTACTTGGCATGAAGGTATCCGAAGATGTCCGGTATCATTAAGGTTTAGGCAATGAGTAAAAAACTTAATGGTTTGATTAAATGATAGAAAAAACAAAACAAAGTTGAGTTATTTAAATATCGTGTATATCTTTTATTTACAAGTATCATTTTTCAACGAATCAGACATGATTTCATAGCGTTTACACAGGAGGTGCTAGATTAACCTGTCCACATAACTTTAAAATGACGAAGAATGAGATAAGACTGTTTAAAATGCTGCTTACTAATGATGCTTGATTCCTCTAATATTGAAATGGATAAACATGAAACGCAACAATAGTATGAGATATGATTAAGGCGTGATATAAAGAGAAAATATGAATGAAACATATACAAATAATAATAATAATAATAATAATGATGATGATGATAATAATAAAATGCTTCAGTAATATTCCATACGTTTATTAATTTTATCGGAGGGATATCGTACAATCATGTATAATAGAGACAATCATGTATAATAGAAGATTTGTAGTCCGCCAGTGGTATTTATTGACATATTAACACCAATCTTTCTGTTTAAAGTGACACAATCAAGAAGAGTCATGTTTGAGTAAGGATTGTTAAATTAGACCAGTTCCTATATTCAATTAAGGCAGATTAAGCCCAAGAAATACTATATCCTCTAAAATAGATAGATATTTTAATATTGGGTTTTGAGTCTTGAAATGCTAAACAGATGAAAACAAGACTGCATTGAATGTTAAATGATCGGACAAGGTTGTAACTTTGTCTTCCATACATACAGCTAACTCACTTTATCTGTACTAATTGTAAGATCGTAAAAATTGTTAAGTAATATTGCCAACGTGTTTTGTTTTGAAAAACAAATCAATGAAAATGAGAAACAGTAGCAATTTCAAATCTGAATAATACTTTTTAGAGTTTAACACGAGCCTTCAATCTAAAACCTCTGTAAATAAGTTGTTCATCTTTTTTCGCGGACACTGTTGTCTTGCAATACGCATTGATCAAAGGATAAACATTCAGTTGTGCCTTGAATTTGCATAAAAATGAAATAAAGTAACTTAAATAGGTCATGCATATAACTATTACTTTTCTGATGACCAACGGCTTGTTTGATAATCTACAATCTAGACATTTATCATTTTTGGTAACTTACTGTCATAAATGTAACTTAACGAGCATAATTATTTTACATGAGTGATTTGTTTATTGCGAGAAGGCTTTGTGTCACGTAAGTGCCATTCCATGAGAAACGGCATATGGTCCCCCAAGTAAAAAAAAATACGTGTGTCCTAAAAAAAAAAGAAAACAATTGGCGGTACTAAATAAAATGGAATTTTAGAATTTCAGAGGTTATAAAGCCTGCATATCACAGATAAGACGTTAAAAGACAAATTCAAAGAGCAGGCCTTATATCCTAAGGGTGATTCAACAGTATTCAAATGAGGAATACTGGAACCACCCAACAAGAAAATAGTCGAATAGAAAAAAACTAAATTACCACAAGCACAACAATGATGTCGTGCTGAACGATCTTTAAGGATCGAAACTATAACATCTCTGATTGAATGTACGGGGCGACTTTTTACAGCCTCCACGCGACACAACGATAAACATTTACATGTATCTAGATCATCAAGGTAAGATAGCAACCGGTCTTGCACATTAGATTTATTGGAGTGAAAATATGGACATATGGCCTTCACGAGATGAAATAAATTATAATCTTTCACAGAAATAAACAAATTTTCTTTTTATTTTATGCTTACTTAAACTAAAATTGCCATTTTTTATATTTTACCCGTGCGCATCATTAAGACATACCCCGTGGGGAGCCCCTCTTCAAAGAGAACGTTATTTGCCAAATTTGTATCTCCGCACATGAAATAGTGCATATATTTTTTCCTTTATTTTTACGGCATAATTGCCATTGAAATGAACTCAATACACATTTAAAACATATAATTCATTTATTCTTTTCATTCGTAACAAAATCAAATACACTTTAAACATATTTACGATAAATATGAAAGCGGATTAATTCAAGTTTCATTACATGTAAAATTCATTCATAACAAGAGCGGCCATGTTGGTCAAGTACATGTGACGCTAAAACGAGTTTAAACAATCTCAGTTAATTCAGTAAATGTTTTCATTCTTCTGTGAGCAAAATTTGTACACTTCTTTGGATTTAATTAGTGAATTTCAAGTCAACCACTGTCACTGTCGGATATCATGCGGATCCGTTGGTATTTTTTTGGGTGCAGTGGCGAGCTGTCAGCGCTGCAAACTTCTGATTCAGTACTTGGATTTATCACCTGCTGTGACGGCTTTTGTGTTGAAGTTGTAGAGGAATGAAAATTAAATGTGACATTTCCATGGAAATGGCTATTAATGAAGAAACCTCTAGATGCAGCACCTTCACACTTTCCATTAAATGTTGTGGGTGGGGTGTTGGTATAAAGTGCTGAATTGCATGGAGCTACAGACTGATTTGATGTTGATGGCCTATCAGATAGAATATTTGAAATATTTTTACATTGTGCATTGTTCAGTTTACTGTAATTATTCAGACTGTTGACATTCTTGTGACCGGATATTTGAACAATTTGATTGGCTGGCACGCCATCATCAGACAGCTTTTGAATAAGACGCTTCCTTGCACTGAAGATAAAAAACAACAAAACAAGTCAGGTTAGTTTGTTACTCCACTCGAGATAACTGTTTTTGTATTTTGTCTCATCTACAGTTATTTTGAGGTTGTGCCGAACGCCTGTTATCAACTGTGTATTCATTTCGACATCAATGTAAAATTTATGAAGAATTTATCATCAGAAATCAATAATTGTCATCAAAAATGATTTTAGTTTTTTGAATTCCTGCATGTGTAACAGTGTGTTGTGCTACATGTACAACAAGAGAGATGCTTCTAAGTTGTAAGTAACAATTGTTGATTTTTAATTAGCTTTTCTGTTTGAATTTATTTCATATTTTTTATACAAATATACAGTAGTGGTAATATCATTTTTATTTCATCACTTGAATAATAGTAGTATTTCACTGAAAATACAAGTCACCAATACACTGAGTAAATTCTTACCTATATGGGGTTATGCGTGGGGCTTCAATCCCTGCATCTTCCTTCATTTCTTTCATGATGGAATAGATTTTGTTAATTCCCATTGGTGAGTTCCTGAACCAGCATTTTTGTTGATGACTACCGGGAACCAGAAAAAATGGGCTGTCATCTGTATTTGAAGCATTTGGGCGCTTTAGACTGTATAATTTGTACAGGTAAACAGGGTCTCGCTGTGGATTTTCTGGATTGCTGAATGCTTTTGGTTTGATTAGCCTGTAAAATTAATAAAAAAAAATTCAGTTTGCTCTTTTCTTATCTGCACATTGATTATCATTCATAAAATAATAATATTTATGTTGTTGTAACAAATTACTGACAACTTGGTTTAAATAATTTTAAGGAGAAGATACATTTTCAAAGAAAATAAAAAACATGCATTATGTTATTGCAGACTGACAATTGTGAATTTTTTTTTATAGCTTTACTGTACTCAATATTGTTTTTTTTTGTATCTTTAAAGAAATATTTTTACCTTGTATCCTTTGGATTTGCACCAGTCCTTGTTTTCGTTTGCCTTTCTGTGTCCAAAATCAAGTCTTCTCCTGTTTGGTCATCCATTTCTAGATTTATGTCTCCCCACCTCAGGTTATGGATTTCCTGACCAGATCTCATTCCAAAAAATGTTGTGCAGATCAGCCAAAGGGAATGAATGAGAGCACGTGCATTGTCGTCACCCAGGGGTTTACATTCGTACATTTTATTTATGTGTTCTTCTGTTAGAGGTTCTGCCGTTTTGGGTTTATTGCCGTATCCCAAGCTTTTCAGCTGTTTTTGCTTTCCCTTTAAGACCATTCTAGTTTTACAGAATTCAACATCATTAATAATTGACATTTTCGAACTTTTTGACTTAAGATATTTGTCAATGGAGCTGACAAATCCCCTTAAAGTAGTAGGTTCATATTCTTTTCCATCAGGTTTGCTTGCACCTAGCAGAAATTCACAAAGATATGTGTTCAAAGTGTCTGGTGGAATGAATTCTGGTTTTCTTATTTCATTTCTAGACTGTAGGAATGCGTTCAAATATTTGATGTCACTGTCTGTTTTCTTTTTTTGTGTTTTTGTTGACTGAAGTTTGTAAAAATTGATCAACATTTACTGTTCTGAATGTTCTTTCATTTGGCTTATTTTGTTTTTTCTCATCGTTTTGTATTTCTTGGGATGTTACCTCCCCAAAGTGTGCTTCTTCATCGAAAAGATGTCCAAAAATGCTTCAATTTCAAAATCTCCAATTTCTTCTAAATCCTCCATTGTAAAATTATGATAGCAGACGGTGATAAAAGGGAGGTAATATATCTTATGTGATGATTTTTTTTTTTTTTTTAATTAAATTATATTGTATGTTGATATTTTAGTATTTATTAATGTCATAAATATTTGTATAAATGAGAAATATTAAAATAATATAAAATTTTTTTTATGAATATCAAAGGGAAATAAAAAATGGAATAAAGTAAGGGAGGTAATTCAATTGGAAAAAAGTAGTTCCGTCAAAAAAGTGAAATTACCATTTTGGTAATTTCACTGTTTTGAAACAGTGGATTATCAATTTTATATCACTGATCGCAAAAATTAGAAGATATGTCGAACTGTTACTTGGCCAAGTAATCCAAAGATGCCCGGTATCATTAAGATTTAGGCCATGAGTAAAAATCTTCAATGATAAAAATAACAACGACAACAACAATAATAATAATGGTGATGATGATGATGGTGGTGAAGATGATGATGGTGGTGATGATGATGATGCTGATGATAATGATGATGCTGATGATAATAAAATTCTTCAGTCATATTCCATACGTTAATTCATTTTATCGGAGGGATATCGTACAATCATGTATAATAGAAAACTTGTAGTCCGCCAGTGGTTTTTATTGACAATTTAACACCAATCTTTCTGTTTAAAGTGACATAATCAAGAAGAGTCATGCTTGAGTAAGGATTGTTAAATTAGACCTTTTGCTATATTTAGTTAAAGGCGGATTTGGCCTAGACATACTATATCCTCTAAAATAGATATATATTTTAATATTGGGTTTTGAGTCTTGAAATGCTAAACATATGAAAAAAGGCTGCATTGAATGTTAAATGATCGGACAAAGTGGTAACTTTGTCTTCCACAGCTAACTCACTCTATCTGTACTTATTGTAAGATCATAAAAATTATTTAGCAATATTGCCAGTGTGTTCCGTTTGGAAATAACAAACCAACGAAAATGAAAAGCAGTTAGCGATTTCAAATCTGAATAATACTTTTAACACGAGCCTTTAATCTACAAGATCTATAAATTAATTGTTCACCTTGTTTCACCAATTATGTCTTGAAATACGAATTGGTAAATGGATGAACAATCCGTGGTGCCCTGAATTTGCATAGTAACTGAAATATGTCATGCATATTTCTTTTTCTTTTCTGATGACCAACGGCTTGTTTGATTATCTACAATTTAGACATTTATCATGTCTTGCATCGTTGGTTACCCACGGTATATATTCCGTACATACTACATTATCTATTGTAGTATGTACGGAATATATACCGTGGGTAACCAACGATGCATGTCTTGATATTCAAGGTCATAAATGCCACTTAACGAGAATAATTATACAGGCCTGGAATAATTTGTTTATTGCGATAAGGCATTGTGTCGCATCTAGCATGATAAATAAAATTCTACCTACTTGTTTTTTGACATCGTTTTGTTAAGCATATTGATATACTTCTCCTTGGGTAATATGCATCGCTTTACAGGGAATGGCGAGAAAGTTTTTAAATCATTTTGAAGGATTTATTATCATTCTAACAGCAAAAATTCCCTTATCAAACAGATAGGACAGTCAATTGCATTATTACGCGATATATGCGCATATATATTCCTACGCATTTGAACTCCAGCAGTACATTACTCTACAACAAAGCACTCAAAAATGATTTCTATTTCCTAAACATAGTATTAACATTATAATGTTAGATTCGAAATCAAACTACATTTATATTTTTAGATGTTTAATTTTGTTCAATAAAATATGATAAACAAGATCAACAATGACGGGCGGCGTTCAATGAACGAAACCCCCACACGAAACAACAACACAGGACCGCCGGCAAGGAGCCCACGTGACCCAAATTAAAACAAGTCAGGAATGTGAAGCTAGAAAACGGATGTGGAGATATTATCGGTAGCATACACTTACAGGCACTAGTATTCAAGTTTCAAACCTCTACACAGTCTTTCGATTGCTTTCTACGCCATGATGCATCCTTGTGCGAAACGTTGCGGTTTCGTTGCTATTGGCCAATCATAAGAATTCTTACAAAATACAAAAGAGCAAATTAACAATGGCGTAAAAAGGAATTGAAAGACCGTTGAGAGGTTTGAAACTCGAATTTCGCGTGTATCAGATGCTACTGACGGTTGTGAATGGTCCGTCCCATTTAATGTATTTAGTAATATTATTTAGTAAATTCAAGTGATTTTGACCCGTACTCGGCTGTCAAACATGTACTTGTCTATGTTTACGTGCCAAATCGTTGTGCCACTTTTTTGTCTACCTGGGAGAGCATTTTAGCACAAATGCGCTTGCTTGCTGATAGATATTTCATGAACGGGAAGGGCTAGAGACTCAGTACGTCTCATTTGGAAGCTTAATACAAACGTGAAATAGTGATAAAAGTTTTTTTTTTAATTATCTGGACAATTGTTTTAACTATTCCCGGTAAATGAACCCCTTGTTTGCAGCCTCGAATCTGGAGTTTCGGTCTTCTCTTCTCTTCACTTATAGTATATTTCTAAGGGGGCTCATATTTCATTTTTGACACATTTAAGATGAACACAGAGGTTTTTTATCAATGTGGTCATTTTTTATCTCCAGGTCCGATACTCGTGCATGTGCATACACTAACCGATATTGCGACATTTTTGATGAGGCCGTATTTGACTTTTATAAAAAATGTCTGCTTTTAACTTATTATTTTTTCACAACTCTGTTACACAATATCTGACATCATAATGTATTCTGGTTAACAATTTTCTTTACTTAATGTAAATACTTTACAAACAGTTCTATCGTTCAATGTATTACTTTGATAGTTTCAACCAATAACAACTAAACTAGAAGATATATAGAATCTACACGGAAAGTCCATTTCAAGATTAAGATTGTTCAAAATGTCATATCAGTGCATCTATGTTTCCTAGGAATTCCGTATGGCTTAATAATATGCAAAATATAGTATTGAGTATGGAGATTACTAAATGACACACACGATATTTTTTTGCACTAAATAGCTCAACGATTCTAAACCAAAATTTTATTGAAATTTAAGCTAACGAAAACAAATTTATTTTTACATTTAGCTTTTGTTAGTTTAGTAAACGTGTATTTTATGTGTCTATATGTTAACTTTTATTGTATCATTTTTGCGAAAGAGCAATATGAATTGTTTACCTTGGGATGATTAAAATCAGATATGTTATTTATACATCATTTATGTGCATGCACTTTATCATGCCTGGAAAATGAGTGCCCTGGAGAAAAACAAATGCTTAAGTCAATACTATAGAAGTAAATATTAATCATAAGCATTTTTGTGACGTTGTGTTCATTTTCAACCTACGTGTAGTTACTTGTGTCTATTCAAGTAAATAACAAAACCATCTGATAAGCATCGTTTTAGTGATTTTCAGCCATTGACATTTGTACCATATGAAAATATAAAATTTAGAAATGAAAATACATTTATCAAATAAAATGAAACATACACAGGTATGCTTGCATAGGAATTATGATTAGTATAATTGAACTTAAAAAGTTAAGAAAATTTACCTTCTAATGTAGATTTTTATAATATACTATGCTTACAGATGTATGTGTGATTGTTGTTGCATTTTGAGTTCATAAGATGTTTTGCTTTATGAACATGTTACAATGTTACACTATTAGTCAAAATTCGAGTATATTGTAGATTTTACACAATTCACATTGTATGTATGAACTTATACAGATTAACGTGAGAGAAAATTGAGTTAAATAATATTTAAACTAGGGTTTTTTTTTTTTGCTTTTTGTTTTACTAAAATGTATAGATGAGAATGGGGAGATGTATTTGTACATTTTAACCAATAAAACGATTCTTTCATATCAAGTTTCTACCAAATAAATTTCATTAAACTCAACTGTAAGACAGTTTAACTTGGCAATTAAAATAAACAGACTATAAACAGCATGTTGACGTGTGATCGGGCTCTTTTGGAGTCGTCAACATGTTCGTTCTGTTACACTTTCAAAGATCTTTTATACTATTCAAATATTTCATATTGATGAATTATTTGTAACAAATCGATATATTGCCAGAATAAATCTATATTAACATAGTAGTAAGCACAATGCGCTGATTCTAATATCACGTTCAGATAGACCCTAAGAAACTGCAATAAACCACCATTCCTTATTACACATGTACTCGTTTCTTACAATAACAAGGTTTATAACTTATATTTATTTCTTCTACAAAAGAAGCAATAGATATGTAAATGAATTACTTTCCCAAATACTAACAAATACAAACAATGCTAATTTGTTCCAGTCTGAGGTATTAATGCAATTTTGTATCATTAATGATCAAAAGGAGTACTAAGTACCTTACAATCATTGACCCAACTACATATTTTCATGAATTTTAGAAAATGCGTTCCGTGAAAAGTGCTCTCCCGTTTTAGTCTTATTTGTTTAAGAGTAGCAATATAATTAAGCTATATGTTACCTTAGAAAAAACCCCGCATTAACTGTAGTTAGTAGTTCCGATATGCAATTTATCAAACTACAACCACATATTTTATCGACCAGATAAGTACTTGGTTTATGTGTACGTTCGTCTGTACTGGTTTAAAATTGTAAACCTATCAGTGCGTTGACTGATTATATACATTTCGATGCATTTAGGTAAAATCAGCAACTTTATAAAAAAAATAAAAGAAAATAAATAAACAAAAACATACTATTAGAATAAAATAATTAAATAATAAAATAGAACAAAGCACGAGAATGTAGGATACTGATTTAGTTTACTTTTTTTACACAATTAATAATCTATTGTTTTTTGTTGTTGCTTTTTCTGTAACAATATAAAAACCGAACTAATCACAGTTTACTTCGACATCATAGTCAATTATTTACCATTTGGAGTTATCAAACAGACTTGTATATTAAGAGGATATTTTTTCGTTTGAGTGAAATATGGAATATAT